CTCCTGTGGACTCACCACCTGCAGAGGGTCAGTGAGGGGCTGGTGCTATGAGACTTGGGTGGCATCTCTGACTGCCACCCCCCTGACCCAGAAATGGATTAAAGGGTAGAAAATGGATGGATGGATGGATCCATTGGAATTGGCTCCAACACCATCCATTCACTCTCTCATCTACATTCAGACCTATTGTGCATGTTTTTAGTGGAAGGGGAAACCGGAGCACCCAGAGGAAACCTACACAGACACGGGTAGAACATGCAAACTCCACTCAGAAAGGCCCTGTTCTGACCCAGCACCTTCTTGCTGAGAAGCGAGAATGCTAACCACTCTGCCTGGACCGTGCTGGATCTTGGGGCTCTCTTTAGACACACATTTCATCACAAACAAAAACATAATTCTTTTGTTAAGACTCAAAATGACAGTTCAATCTGGAGAGACTCGAACAGGCCAAACATGGTATCAGAATTGTATGTTGGTTGGCAGATAATCTGACATTGCATGAACAGAATGTGGGATTTGGCCTTAGACCCCGGATGATGAGATGAAATCCCCCTAGACCCTGGTGGTGGGAGCTGTAGGAGAAGGATGAAGGAGCTGGCCTGGAACAAGGCGGAGATGGGGAGGAGGAGGGTTGCAGCGTGAGTGAAGCTGCTGCTTGGATGGAGCTTCTGCGTGATATGAAGCTGATGCAGTGCCTGATGCTGCAGGTGATTGACAGATTTCTGTTGCGGAGCGCTCAGAGCTGGGTTCTCAGGTCTTCCACTCTGAATTTACGCTTAAGCTTCAGTTTGGACTGCTGCCTCGTCTTCCTAAGTGAGTAATCTGTATTCATATACCGCCTTTCAGAGACCAATCACAAAGCGCTTTACAATTGTTGTGGGTAATTATCAGGGAGTGAGAGACCCTTCCTCATGTGGTCTTCCTCATTCTGTTCTATCTTTTCACAGAATGTATTGCTCTGTCTTGCCCCCACCAGAGGCAGAACGACAGCGCCATCTGCAGTCCGACTCCTTCACAACAGAATCCCAGGCGTGCGACAGTAACACTGCTCCGTCGTCCCGGTTTACAGTCCTGTGTAAGACGCCTGGTAATAAACAGTTCATAGTAACACAAAAACACAATCTCATCTTTTCTCCAAACAGAATCATTTCCCAAGCAGAGGAGGTTCTCGCGCAAACACCCATCGACAATAAGACAAGGCAGAACATTCCACTTCATTAAAATGTGATCAAACAGGCTTTTATAAATGTACCGTTAAAAGTCAAAGTCCGCTCTGGTTTCTCTCGCTCACTTTGCCGGACTAAGCCGCACGGATACGTCTTTAATCTCGGAGCACATTGGAGAGCTCCCTGGACCCATGCAGTATGTAAAAGACACTGTCGGAGCGGCTAAAAATAGAAAAAACACTTGTGAAGGAATAGAGTAGAGAAAGAGGGCAGTTTGATTCCACATAAAAGCGAATCCGTGAGTGATGTTTGAGAGTTCAGATGGAGCTGGTGTCGCTGCTCAGAGAAGAAGAGGAGATCCAACATTATCGTATGGACCGAAAAATATGTGTTTAATAGCACCAGGAGAGAAGAGTTTGTGGCTTTAACCTGGTAAGAACCCAGACACACAGATATTTGTAAAAAATAAATAATAATAAAGCAGCATCAGCGACCAAAGTGAGGAATGTAGGATTCTGGAAACAAACAGTGAGAGCATTAAGTCAAAAAGTCTGTCTATACTGCAACATCAGGGTTAACACTAGAACTGCCAGAGAGAGAGAGAGACCAGAGAGAGACAAGAGAGAGACCAGAGAGAGACCAGAGAGAGAGAGAGATCAGAGAGAGACCAGAGAGAGAGACCAGAGAGAGAGTCCAGAGAGAGAGAGAGATCAGAGAGAGACCAGAGAGAGACAAGAGAGAGACCAGAGAGAGACCAGAGAGAGAGACCAGAGAGAGAGTCCAGAGAGAGAGAGAGATCAGAGAAAGACCAGAAACCAGTAAGAGAGACCAAAGCGAGATCAGAGAGACACAAGAGACTATAAACCAGTGAGAGACCAGAGAGAGAAAGAGACCAGAGAGAGACCAGAGAGAGAAAGAGACCAGAGAGAGACCAGAGAGAGACTAGAGCGAAAGTTCAGATGGAGCTGGTGTCGCTGCTCAGAGAAGAAGAGGAGATCCAACATTATCGTATGGACCGAAAAATATGTGTTTAATAGCACCAGGAGAGAAGAGTTTGTGGCTTTAACCTGGTAAGAACCCAGACACACAGATATTTGTAAAAATAAATAATAATAATAAAGCAGCATCAGCGACCAAAGTGAGGAATGTAGGATTCTGGAAACAAACAGATTAAGTCAAAAAGTCTGTCTATACTGCCACATCAGGGTTAACACTAGAACTGCCAGAGAAAGAGAGAGACCAGAGAGAGAGAGAGACCAGAGAGAGAGAGAGACCAGAGAGAGACCAGAGACTAAAGAGAGACCAGAGAGACTAGAGAGAGACCAGAGAGAGACCAGAGTGAGACCAGAGAGAGAGACCAGAGAGAGAGACCAGAGAGAGACCAGAGAGAGACCAGAGAGAGAGACCAGAGAGAGACTAGAGAGAGACCAGAGAGAGAGACCAGAGAGAGACTAGAGAGAGACCAGAGAGAGACCAGAGAGAGACTAGAGAGAGACCAGAGAGAGACTAGAGAGAGACTAGAGAGAGACCAGTGAGAGACTAGAGAGAGACCAGAGAGAGACTAGAGAGAGACCAGAGAGAGACCAGAGAGAGAGACCAGAGAGAGACTAGAGAGAGACCAGAGAGAGACCAGAGAGAGACTAGAGAGAGACCAGAGAGAGACTAGAGAGAGACTAGAGAGAGACCAGTGAGAGACTAGAGAGAGACCAGAGAGAGACTAGAGAGAGACCAGAGAGAGAGAGTAGAGAGAGACTAGAGAGAGACCAGAGAGAGACCAGAGAGAGACTAGAGAGAGACTAGAGAGAGACCAGAAAGAGACTAGAGAGAGACCAGAGAGAGACTAGAGAGAGACTAGAGAGAGACTAGAGAGAGACCAGTGAGAGACTAGAGAGAGACCAGAGAGAGAGACCAGAGAGAGAGACCAGTGAGAGACCAGAGAGAGACCAGTGAGAGACCAGAGAGAGAGACCAGAGAGAGAATAGAGAGAGACCAAAATAATACATAATATTTCTTCTTTAAACAGGTAGAGACCATATTAAAGCCTATTTACATGTTTTCTATGATATCACAGTTTGGACAGATTCAGTACATATGAGAGAGACAAGAGAAGAGAAGAGATGGAGACCACGAGAGGGACAGGAGAGAGACACAGGAGAGAGACCACGAGAGAGACCAGAGAGAGAACTGAGAGCGACTAGAGGACGAGACCAGAGAGAGACCAGAGAGGAGCCGGGTAAGCAGCCGAGGGAGGACTAGAAGAAGAGACCAGAGGAGAGAGCAGATATAACCCAGAACTTTGGTGTCTCACAACGACAAACCCCAGACAGAAAAAACGGTCATGCAGTTACAAACCCAAAGAAAATATGGCCAAGAAAATCCTGTTTTTAGTGTCGAATTGGTTAGGAAATTTCACTGGATCTTTTGTCAAAGACGCAGCTAAAAAACACTCCATCAAGAAACAATTTTGGTCTGAACGTTTCAACAGCTCAAAGTAAAGAGACAACTCTCCATCCACAAATGTTACATGAAGCCTCTTATGAAAGAAAATGCACAATAAAAACTAGACACCCGACAATCCCAGAGAGATACATCAGTCAGGCAGGATCAAGACTGGCCGTGTATGACGTAATTCCAAACTGCAGCCTCCTTCTCCATTTGTGCCATCCACGTCTCAGGGCATGAATAGCCGCGTTTCAAGGTGCTGCAGACCAGTACTTGCAGCCCACCTTGCTCAAAGGCCTTGATTCAGCGGTGTTTACTCGAGTCCGCATAGATACTCAGACGTTGTGACGGGAATCGCACCCCTCTCACCCTTCAGCCTCGCCCGCCCTGCTCTCTCTCTCTCTCTCCACACGGACACAAACTCCACTCTCCTGGGCATGCAGACTGTGGATCTAGTTCAGTTCTGCTGCTTGTGGTGTGTGCGAGAGAAGGAGCAGGGGGGGGGGCCGATTTGAGGGAGGGGAAAAAAAGGCATAAGCTGGAGGGACTACAGCCTGCCCCTGCCCTGCCCTGGAGGAATAAAGGAGGTTTCCAAAAATGTCTTTCAGATGAGTAGAGTAGAATTAGACTAGGAGGATCATTGTTTCATCTGGGGTCTCCTGCCGTTGATGTTAAAAAGCCGTATAAAGGACGCGTTTAAAGGAGACGTTTTCCAGGAGTGCGATGTAAAGATAGCAGGAAAGAACGATGACAACTCTCCATCACAAAGTTAAGGACACACACCATCCAGCCCGGGTGTACTCACACCGGACAATCCCTAGAAACAAAAAACATGCAGGTATATAAAAACAAGCAAGAGAGAGACCATGAAGAGAGAGCCCTAGGGGGAGCAGAGGAAGAGGCAGAGGGGACAGAGAGACCAGAGAGCGACAGAAGAGAGGACCAGCGGAGACCAGAGAGATGAAAGAGAGAGACCCAGAGAGAGACCAGAGAGAGACAGCGAGAGACAGAGATTGGGTCCAGCGAGAGAACTGATCGAGAGAGCCCAGGGAGGAGTAGAGAGAGAGCAGGAGATACGAGACCAGAGAGAAGAGAGAGAACTGAGAGAGAGACCAGAGAAAGTGACCAGAGGACCAGAGAATCTTTCAGATGTGTAGATTCTCTTTATTGACCTAAAATCTTGAGTATCTAAAGCACTTTTGGGTCTTGTACCTTGGTCTGTAAATGTGCTATATAAATAAAAACATGTGCTAATTTACCTGGCATCAAACTTCAGTCCGGTCTGATTTCTGTCGTCAGTAACGTCTCAATGGCCCAGAGGTTAGGATCCCGTGTTCAGAATTTATATCTGTTGTCTTGTTACCAGACCAAATAATCATCTCAATACATTAACTACCCCCCCCCCCCCCCCCCCCCCCCCCCCCCCCCCCCCCCCCCCCCCCCCCCCCCCCCCCCCCCCCCCCCCCCGTGCCCCCCCCCCCCCCCCCCCTCCCCCCCCCCCCCCCCCCCCCCCCCCCCCCCCCCCCCCCCCCCCCCCCCCCCCCACCCCCCCCCCCCCCCCCCCCCCCCCCCCCCCCCCCACCCCCCCCCCACCCCCCCCCCCCACCCCCCCCCCCCCCCCGCCCCTACCCCCCCCCCCCCCCCCCCCCCCCCCCCCCCCCCCCCCCCCCCCCCCACCCCCCCCCCCCCCCCCCCCTGACCACCCCCCAACCACCCCCCCCCCCCCCCCCCCCCCCCCCCCCCCCCCCCCCCCCCCCCCCCCTCCCGCCCCCCCCCCCCCCCCCCCCCCCCCCCCCCCCCCCCCCCCCCCCCCTACCCCAACACCGCCCCCCCCCCCCCCCCCGTGGGGCTCTCACATTCTCTGTGCTAGCTCGAGTGCTGAGCTAGATCTCCCCTCGCACTCCTCCCCTTCACCGCCCTTGAAGCGGAGACACGTCATTCTTATCATCTCATCGGGATCATGCTTCCACCACAATTAGACTTTAGGACCAGAAGGGGGGTTTGTACTTCAGAATCCTCTATGCAACAGCACCGCCCTTCACCCCCCTCCCCTCTTCAGTACTGGTCTAGAGCCTCAAGTCCTGGGTCTAGACTTAGTCAGGGTCTACAGCCTTCAGTCCTGGGTCTACAGCCTCAGTTTCTGGCGTCTACTAGCCTCAGTCCTGGGTCTACCAGCTCAGTCCTGCGTCTACAGCTCTCAGTCCTGGTGGTCTACTGCCTCAGTCCTGGTGGTTCCTACAGCCTCAGTCCTGGGTCTACAGCCTCAGTCCTGGGTCTACAGCCCTCAGTCACTAGCGGTCTCAGCCCTCCGCCCTGGATTTTAATTTGAATTACCTATTCTACTGGTATATATCGCCGACTCTCAAGTGTTTTATAGATAGATATAGCTATAGAGACAGAAAGAGAAGACTAGAGATGAGGGGAGACCAGAGGAGAGAGACCAGGAGAGAGACCAGAGGAGACCAGAGAGAGACCAGAGGGAGATTGAGACCCGAGAAGAGACAGAGAGAGACCAGGAGAGCACCAGAGATGAGACCAGAGAGAGACCCAACGAGATGAGACCAGAGGAGAGACCACGAAGATGAAGAGACCAGGAAGAGCCAGAGAAGAAGAGAGACCAGAGAGAGACCAGGAGACGAGACCAGAGAGGACCTGAGAGAGGGACCAGAGAGAAGACCAGTGAGGATGAGACTAGAGAGAGACCAGAGAGAGACCTAGAGAGCGAACCAGAGAGGAGACCTGAGGAGGGGGGGAGGGGTGGGACAGGGGGAAAGAGGAGAGACCAGAGAGAGACGTAGAGAGGAGACCAGAGAGAGACCAGAGATGAGACCATGAGAGAGAGACCAGAGAGAGAGGATTCAATAGAAGTCGCAGCTGTCACTCATATTTCCAACTCAGGCGAATGCGATGCTTTGTCTAACTTTCCTTCGTCTAAATTTCAGCATTTTGGCTCGTCCTTGGTATGTTGTCTCCAAACAGAGTTAATGGGGTCACAGGTCTGGGTCTGGGTCGGGGGGTTAGCCTGGCCTCCTGCGTTGCAACTGTCGACGCTGCTGGCGACCCACACACCTGCACCCATGGTCCGCTCCAGCGCTGGTCAGGCTCTGCGTCTGGAATGCACTGACCATTGTTCTCTATACTGATGCTCATAAATCTCACCTCTGCTTCAGGATGCAAACAGGGAGACATGAAGAGAGAGACCAGAGGAGGACCAGAGGAGAGTCCCAGAGGGGAGACCAGAGAAAAAAACCAAATTGAATGCTACAGTATTTTTTCAAGTAACCAAACAGATGGAACATCTAAAACAAAGTTTAGACTCATCTCCTGCCTCTGTCTTCACTGTCAGACCGATGGTACCCATCGAGTTCTGCAGACCGAGCCTCCAGACTAGAACCAGGATAGTGAGTACCATCCACTTTTAGTCCGGGGTCTAGGTCTCCTGTTTGTTACAAGTCTTTCCATGGGACTCTGAGGAGCACAGGGACTGGCCTCTTGCTGGGACTCTGAGGAGCACAGGGACTGGCCTCTTGCTGGGACTCTGAGGAGCACAGGGACTGGCCTCTTGCTGGGACTCTGAGGAGCACAGGGACTGGCCTCCTGCTGGGACTCTGAGGAGCACAGGGACTGGCCTCTTGCTGGGACTCTGAGGAGCATAGGGACTGGCCTCTTGCTGGGACTCTGAGGAGCACAGGGACTGGCCTCCTGCTGGGACTCTGAGGAGCACAGGGACTGGCCTCTTGCTGGGACTCTGAGGAGCATAGCAACTGGCCTCTTGCTGGGACTCTGAGGAGCACAGGGACTGGCCTCTTGCTGGGACTCTGAGGAGCACAGGGACTGGCCTGTGTCAGATTCATTCGTCTTCCTGAGAATGTGAGACAGGCTTCCCCTCTGACACTCTGTGGAGGATTCTATCTTTACTCTTTTTAATGAACTGTGATTATGTGAAGTGTTTCGTTCACACATTTTTTCTTGTATCTGTTTCTTATTTATTTCTCTTTCCAAAAAACACTACTTTTCTCTGTTTATTTTTTTCTTGTGTGGATTCTCTGACCTCAAAGAGCAGCACCATGGAGCAGCACCATGGGGCCGCCCTGCAGAAGCCCTCCCCCAGCAGAGGGCTCCGCGGGGGGCCGGGCCAGCCTGCATGTGTGGGGGCGAGACCGGGGATGACTCAACCACAGATCTGCACATGAAAAGTGACGGAGAGCAGAGCAGAGGCCAAAGGGGAGGCAGCAAAGCACCCTGGGAAAAAGGCTGGATCATACAGAGCTGGGGCGAGCACGGAGAAAGTCATATTTGGATTTTATCGCCTTCTCACGAGTTAGAATTTGAATCTATTTTAATCACGGACGAAGGTTTTATTGCGAGGAGATCGTAGATGTTCGTATGATGTTTAAACTGCAGATCCATTTTATATGTATAGCACAGTTCATGAACCAGACAAGAGAGAATCAAAGAAATAATCACAAATGTTTAAAATAGTGAAGATAGAATCCTTCAGTTCCCAAGAGCCAGATGTTGTGTGTGTGGACTGGGTCGCCGAGGTCTCCGCCTTCGACTGCTGCCCAGTCCTCTTAGCACCGCGCCACCACGGACCCCTCTGCGGTCGAAATGAGCTTCCTCCGCAGAGTGGCTGGGCGCTCCCTTAGAGATAGGGTGAGGAGCTCAGTCACACGGGAGGAGCTCGGAGTAGAGCCGCTGCTTCTCCACGTCGAGAGGAACCAGTTGAGGTGGCTCAGGCATCTGTTCCGGAAGCCTCCTGGACGCCTCCCTAGGGAGGTGTTCCGGGCACGTCCCACCGGGAGGAGGCCCCGGGGAAGACCTAGGACACGCTGGAGGGACTATGTCTCTCAGCTGGCCTGGGAACGCCTTGGGGTCCCCCCGGACGAGCTGGAGGAAGTGTGTGTGGATAGGGAAGTCTGGGCGTCTCTGCTTAGACTGCTGCCCCCGCGACAGAATCCTTCAGTTGTTGCAGAAAAAGAGCTGTTTTAACCTGAACACTGTCAAATAAGAAGCCTGTCTCACATTTTCAGGAAGACTCTTCCGGGTTTTAGCTGCGTGGATCTGAAACGCTGCCTCCCCGTGTTTAGTCCTGACTCTGGGACCAGCAGGAGGCCAGTCCCTGTGCTCCTCAGAGTCCACAGCAGGAGGCCTGTCCCTGTGCTCCTCAGAGTCACAGCAGGAGGCCAGTCCCTGTGCTGCTCAGAGTCCACAGCAGGAGGCCAGTCCCTGTGCTCCTCAGAGTCCACAGCAGGAGGCCAGTCCCTGTGCTCCTCAGAGTCCACAGCAGGAGGCCAGTCCCTGTGCTCCTCAGAGTCCCAGCAGGAGGCCAGTCCCTGTGCTGCTCAGAGTCCCAGCAGGAGGCCAGTCCCTGTGCTCCTCAGAGTCCACAGCAGGAGGCCAGCCCCTGTGCTCCTCAGAGTCCCAGCAGGAGGCAAGTCCCTGTGCTCCTCAGAGTCCCAGCAGGAGGCAAGTCCCTGTGCTGGAAAGACTTGTGACAAACAGAGCTAATTTAAAGTCAGTTCTCTGAGCCACAGGGCGTCAGGGCAGAGACCTCAGACCTGGACTAATGTGATCTTACTTCCTGGTTCTCGTCGGGACTCCAGCTGCGGCGTTTTGAATCTACCGCAGCTGCCACGCCTGAGGATTTATGTGCGTCTTTTCACCGCTTTACACAGGATTTTTCAATAGCCACAAATTCCCCAAATCTATCATTCTATTCTACACTTCAACAATAGACGGACGGCGCGTTAAATGCCGCACAACACGCGTGCTATCGGCTAACCTTAACCAGGTGGAGGCGCGCTCCGGCAAATCCATAAGTCATCTTTTATTGTGGCGCCATCTTTTGTGCAAATACATAATCTCATATTCCGCACGGCGCTTGTCCCACCGCAGCCTCTAATTTCCCCGCCTTTATATCTGCACAAGAGAAATGAGACGTATCGTAAAGAAGGGAAAAAAGAGAGCGTTGGAGCCGAGCGCCATTTGAAATTCAAATGTGTGGATTTTGAAATTGATGTATGTGTTTATTCATTTACGAGGGGCGTGCGGCGGCGTGCGGCGGCGTGCGGCGGCGTGCCTGCAGTATCGGCGCAGAGGGGAGGCCTTCTCCGGTATATACGGCCAACAAAAAGTCTCTGTTTATGAGCGGGTCAAAAGCAAGAAGCGCCAGAAGCAGAAATATGGACAAGTTTCTTCGATTGGCTGGAAGTAAATTCTGGTGTAGGCGGTGGAAGTCTAGGCCCGGTCAGGATTCTGCCTCATGAGGCCCGGAATCACAGGGACCTCATGATTACCATAAATGAAATGAAATATAAAGTATATTTTATTATTTAAATGATAAAGATTTGGATGGTTTACCTCCGTGTTCCTCAGACTTCTATACTTTTCTGGAACCAAGTAACTTTATTCTGCAAAGAAAATATGGACTTCTTTAACTATATATTATTCTGGTTTTATATTTGATTCTATATTATTCTGCTAAACCAGTGGACCAGACCAAACTCTGGGCTGAGACCGAGTCCAGGAAACGACAGCAGAAGAAGAAGCTGTGATTAATGAGTCCTATTACGATGTCTGCAGGAAGTCATTAGAGATTCATAATTTTGGTTTTGGGGTCCACTCAAACCGTCTTTTTATCTTCCCCCAAAAGTTAAATATGTAACGTCCACAATTAGCCCCCTCTGGGTGTTATCTTTGGATAAACTACTGTAGCCACAGCTGCCCCGGGGCACACTGACAGAAGCCCCTCCCACCACCACCAACCATTCACACACCCCCGGTGGTGTGGGGTGGTACAGTCTCTCTCTCACTCCCGGTGGTGTACTCTACCCTACTCTACTCTACTCTACTCTACTCTACTCTACTCTACTCTACTCTACTCTACTCTACTCTACTCTACCCTACTCTACTCTACTCTACCCTACTCTACTCTACTCTACTCTACTCTACCCTACTCTACTCTACTCTACTCTACTCTACTCTACCCTACTCTACTCTACTCTACCCTACCCTACCCTACCCTACTCTACTCTACCCTACTCTACCCTACTCTACTCTACTCTACTCTACTCTACTCTACTCTACCCTACTCTACTCTACTCTACTCTACTCTACTCTACTCTACCCTACTCTACTCTACTCTACTCTACCCTACCCTACCCTACCCTACTCTACTCTACTCTACTCTACTCTACTCTACTCTACTCTACTCTACTCTACTCTACCCTACTCTACTCTACTCTACTCTACTCTACTCTACTCTACTCTACTCTACTCTACTCTACTCTACCCTACTCTACCCTACTCTACCCTACTCTACTCTACTCTACTCTACTCTACTCTACTCTACTCTACCAAACTGTACAACAAACCATAATCCAGGGAAGTTCCTTGGTAACCATGGCTTGAATTGTGGATACAGTATAAGTTTGAGAGGATGTATCATTCACTGTGACCTAGAATTAATCACTGGTTTGAAATCAATATTTATGTTTTGCCTGAAATGTCTTCACTCAACCCCTCGATAAACCGAACCCACGTAAAACATGAAATAAAATGACTTCTGTTGAATATTGAGACATAGTTAGGAATTAAAATATACAACGTGAGAGGATCTGGAAGGATCTACGACGGCCTTGTTTTTGAGATGCGTGGTTGTGATTACCCTCGGGTTCAGACGTGCAGCCCACACATGGTATACCATTAGCATGCTAACGTATGTAGCTAGTATCGATCGTGTTTCTCAAGGCACGGATGCTGTGGTTGCTAATTCATGCAGTCAGTATGGCGTTCCTTGGATTAAAGCGGCGGGTGTGTGTTTGGAATCTTTCTATAGTCCTTGTGCAACACCAGAGACTGATAATAGAGATGGAGCTAACCTGCTAGCTCCTGAAGCATTATGGGTAATGTAGTAGCTCCATTCACTTTCATTCAAAAGTAAAAACCTCTTATTTAGGCGTCATGAGTCTCACGGATCCTGGCCTTCTCCTTTGCTCCTCCTGCAACAGAAGGAGACTTTAAAACCTGTTGGCAGCACGGTGGCTTCTTGCTTCTCAGCAAGAAGGTCCTGGGTTTGAATCCCAGTCGGAAGAGGGCCATTCTGAGTGGAGTTTGCATGTGCATAGGTTTACTCCGGGTACTCCGATTTCCCCTACCACTAAAAACATGTGCAATAGGTCGGGGTGAACGGGTGTGTGTGTGTGGCACGACGGCCTTCTTCTCAGCAAGAAGGTCCTGGGTTCGAATCCCGGGCGGAACAGCACATTCAAACATTCAAACAAAGAAAAATTGAGAAAATACTAGTAAATAAATCTTACCAAGCTTATACTTTTTTCAATGTAAGGGCAAGCATACAGACAGTTCTTAAAATGACTTTGTGTCAGGGTAGGACTGACACACACTAGACTGATTAGCATTAGCATTAGCATTAGCATTAGCAGTAGCAACAGAACAATAAAGTAAACACCTGTGACACCTGCGACATCACTGTTAGCATACAGGCGCTAACTAAGAAAACTCAACCACTTCCTCTTTATAAGCGCCGCTGCTGTGACGCATCAGCTCCACCGCCGATCGGCCGTCCGCTTGTATCTGTGTTTCGCCGCAGCACGCCCTGATTAACAGTGACACCGCCCCCCCCCCCCCCCCCTGGTGCGGGGGTGTGCGGACCGCCAGCTCACGGTGAGAAAGTGACCGCCTCGTACATCAGCGGCCTCTACAGGGGGGAGGGGGCGGCGTCTAAAAGGGCAAACATGAAATGAATGAGGAAGACTCCGACCAAAGAGGCATATTTCAAACAGTGTGCGCTTCCGACCGACCTGCCGGCGGGAGAAGGGCAACCGCATTGTTAGAGCCACATGTGTTGGTGCGAAGACCCGCTCCCGACGGCCATAGTGGGTCGATTCCCAGTGGTTTTAAAGGAGGGTCATTTGTTATGTCTTTGACTGAGGTTGTAGATCCAGGACTGAGGCTGTAGATCCAGGACTGAGGCTGTAGATCCAGGACTGAGGCTGTAGATCCAGGACTGAGGCTGTAGATCCAGGACTGAGGCTGTAGATCCAGGACTGAGGCTGTAGATCCAGGACTGAGGCTGTAGACCCAGGACTGAGACTGTAGATCCAGGACTGAGGCTGTAGACCCAGGACTGAGACTGTAGATCCAGGACTGAGGCTGTAGATCCAGGACTGAGGCTGTAGACCCAGGACTGAGGCTGTAGACCCAGGACTGAGACTGTAGACCCAGGACTGAGGCTGTAGACCCAGGACTGAGACTGTAGACCCAGGACTGAGGCTGTAGACCCAGGACTGAGACTGTAGACCCAGGACTGAGGCTGTAGATCCAGGACTGAGGCTGTAGACCCAGGACTGAGGCTGTAGACCCAGGACTGAGGCTGTAGACCCAGGACTGAGGCTGTAGACCCAGGACTGAGGCTGTAGATCCAGGACTGAGGCTGTAGATCCAGGACTGAGGCTGTAGACCCAGGACTGAGACTGTAGATCCAGGACTGAGGCTGTAGATCTAGGACTGAGGCTGTAGACCCAGGACTGAGACTGTAGATCCAGGACTGAGGCTGTAGATCCAGGACTGAGGCTGTAGATCCAGGACTGAGGCTGTAGACCCAGGACTGAGACTGTAGATCCAGGACTGAGGCTGTAGATCTAGGACTGAGGCTGTAGATCCAGGACTGAGACTGTAGATCCAGGACTGAGGCTGTAGATCCAGGACTGAGGCTGTAGATCTAGGACTGAGGCTGTAGATCCAGGACTGAGACTGTAGATCCAGGACTGAGGCTGTAGACCCAGGACTGAGACTGTAGACCCAGGACTGAGGCTGTAGACCCAGGACTGAGACTTTAGACCCAGGACTGAGGCTGTAGACCCAGGACTGAGGCTGTAGACCCAGGACTGAGGCTGTAGACCCAGGACTGAGGCTGTAGATCCAGGACTGAGGCTGTAGACCCAGGACTGAGGCTGTAGACCCAGGACTGAGACTGTAGACCCAGGACTGAGGCTGTAGACCCAGGACTGAGACTGTAGACCCAGGACTGAGGCTGTAGATCCAGGACTGAGGCTGTAGACCCAGGACTGAGGCTGTAGACCCAGGACTGAGGCTGTAGACCCAGGACTGAGGCTGTAGATCCAGGACTGAGACTGTAGTTCCAGGACTGAGGCTGTAGATCCAGGACTGAGGCTGTAGATCCAGGACTGAGGCTGTAGACCCAGGACTGAGGCTGTAGACCCAGGACTGAGGCTGTAGATCTAGGACTGAGGCTGTAGATCCAGGACTGAGGCTGTAGACCCAGGACTGAGACTGTAGATCCAGGACTGAGGCTGTAGATCCAGGACTGAGGCTGTAGATCCAGGACTGAGGCTGTAGATCCAGGACTGAGGCTGTAGATCCAGGACTGAGGCTGTAGATCCAGGACTGAGGCTGTAGATCCAGGACTGAGGCTGTAGACCCAGGACTGAGGCTGTGGATCCAGGACTGAGGCTGTAGACCCAGGACTGAGGCTGTAGACCCAGGACTGAGGCTGTAGACCCAGGACTGAGACTGTAGACCCAGGACTGAGGCTGTAGACCCAGGACTGAGACTGTAGACCCAGGACTGAGGCTGTAGATCCAGGACTGAGGCTGTAGACCCAGGACTGAGGCTGTAGACCCAGGACTGAGGCTGTAGACCCAGGACTGAGGCTGTAGACCCAGGACTGAGGCTGTAGACCCAGGACTGAGGCTGTAGACCCAGGACTGAGGCTGTAGATCCAGGACTGAGACTGTAGATCCAGGACTGAGGCTGTAGACCCAGGACTGAGACTGTAGACCCAGGACTGAGGCTGTAGACCCAGGACTGAGACTTTAGACCCAGGACTGAGGCTGTAGACCCAGGACTGAGGCTGTAGACCCAGGACTGAGGCTGTAGACCCAGGACTGAGGCTGTAGATCCAGGACTGAGGCTGTAGACCCAGGACTGAGGCTGTAGACCCAGGACTGAGGCTGTAGATCCAGGACTGAGGCTGTAGACCCAGGACTGAGGCTGTAGACCCAGGACTGAGGCTGCAGACCCAGGACTGAGGCTGTAGATCCAGGACTGAGACTGTAGTTCCAGGACTGAGGCTTTTAGATCTAGGACTACCTACAAAGGTCGTACCTTTGTCCTACTTTTTATTCTTTATTCTGCTGTTTTTCTGAGTTATCTAAGTTATTCACTCACATTATGTTCTATAGTCTCTCCCCCGTCTCTCTCAGGTCTCTCTCTCTCCCTTTCTCTCTGTTCTCTTTCTCGGTTCTGTTCCTCTCTCTCTCTTGCTTCTCTCTCTGGCCAGTCTCTGCTCTCTTTCTCTCTCTCTCTCTCTCTCTTTGTCTCTCTCTCTCTCTCTTTGTCTCTCTCTCTCTCCCTCTCTCTCTCTGGCCAGTCTCTGCTCTCTTTCTCTCTCTCTCTCTCTCTTTGTCTCTCTCTCTCTGTCTTTGTCTCTCTCTCTCTCCCTCTCTCTCTCTCCCCTCTCTCTCTCTGCTCTCTCTCTCTAGCCTCTCTCTCTCTTTGTCTCTCTCTCTCTCTCTCCCTCTCTCTCTCTGGCCTCTCTCTCTCTGCTCTCTCTCTCTAGCCTCTCTCTCTCTCTCTCTCTCTCTCTCTCTCTACACATACTAAAATCCCCTCCTCAGCTCAGTCTCCGCTCTCTCGCTGTCATGTCTCAATCCAAAGTTCCCTGAAGCTTCTCTCGCTCTCCAAACGCATCGCTCACCTTCAAACATGGCTCTCTCTTTCCGTGATGTGAGCGCCGTACGCCGCGCTCCGCCGCCGCTTGCATCACTGTTTACCTCAAACCTCGGTCCTCTGCTCCTCCATCAACACGTCCCTTCAGAACCTCCTGTCCTCCTCTGACAGCTCCATCCTCTCCTTCTCCTCGCACTCTACACATGAGGAATGATCTTCACAACAACAGTCTCGCTTTGGTTTTCTCAGCCGCAGGAAGGTTATCCATATTCTCCTTATGCTTATGTAGTCTCTCTCTCTGGTCTCTCTCTGGTCTCTCTCACTCTCTGGTCTCGTTCTGGTCTCTCTCTCTGGTCTCTCTCACTCTCTGGTCTCGTTCTGGTCTCTCTCTCTCTGGTCTCTCTCTCTCTCTGGTCTCGTTCTGGTCTCTCTCTCTCTCTGGTCTCTCTCTGGTCTCTCTCTGGTCTCTCTCTGGTCTCTCTCTCTGGTCTCTCTCTCTGGTCTCGTTCTGGTCTCTTTCTCTGGTCTCTCTCTCAGCTCTCAAGCTGCTCTCTTTATCTCTGGTCTCTCTCTGGTCTCTCTCGTCTCTCTCTGGTCTCTCTCACTGGTCTCTCTCTGGTCTCTCTCTGGTCTCTCTCTGGTCTCTCTCTGGTCTCTCTCTCTGGTCTCTCTGGTCTCTCTCTGGTCTCTCACTGGTCTCTCACTGGTCTCTCTCTGGTCTCTCTCTGGTCTCTCTCTGGTCTCTCTCTGGTCTCTCTCTGGTCTCTCTGGTCTCTCTCTGGGCTCTCTCTGGTCTCTCTCTCTGGTCTCTCTCTCTGGTCTCGTTCTGGTCTCTTTCTCTGGTCTCTCTCTCAGCTCTCAAGCTGCTCTCTTTCTCTCTGGTCTCTCTCGTCTCTCTCTGGTCTCTCTCTGGTCTCTCTCACTGGTCTCTCTCTGGTCTCTCTCTGGTCTCTTTCTGGTCTCTTTCTGGTCTCTCTCTGGTCTCTCTCTGGTCTCTCTCTGGTCTCTCTCTGATCTCTTTCTCCCTGGATCATAATTTGATAAATTTCTCCCAAAAACAGTCAAACTTCCCTTGAGCTTTTTCCCGCCAACTGAAGTCAAAATCAAGACCAACCTATTTTGATATACTGTATCTTGCCGGTGTGTCTCTGTGTGTGTGTGTGTGTGCGTGCACGCCTGTGTGTATGTCTGTGAACCTGTGTGTGTGTGTGTGTGTGTGCTCCTGTGTGTGTGTGTACGCCTGTGTGTGTGTGTGTGTGTGTGCTCCTGTGTGTGTGTGTGTGTGTGTGTGTGCTCCTGTGTGTGTGTGTGTGTGTGTGTGTGCTCCTGTGTGTGTGTGTGTACGCCTGTGTGTTTGTGTGCGTGTGTGTGCTCCTGTGCGTATGTCTGTGTGTGTCTATGCAGTGGCCTGATACTTCCCCTTTATCTTATTTGAGTTTTATTTGAGGACCGTGGCAGCGCGGGGCCTCCAGTCAGCCATAATTGAAACGAGGGGAGAAGGAGCCGGTGTTCGCTGTAATCAAGCCCTCAGTCCTGAGCGCTTTCCCATTTTTCAAAGTGAAGTATCTCTGCAATCTTCCGGCAGTAATACGCCGCTTCTCGCGACTTGGCTCGTGGCTAATTAGCTCAGAGACAGTCGGATTCTGCATCGGGGCCGTAGCTGCTAACGAAAGCCGCGGGCGGAGAGGGGATCGTCGGTCAGATTAAAGAAGAAATAATTTGAGAATAAGTGCACGAGGGAGGCGCGAGTTAGCAAAGTGCTGCGTATCATTGCGAGGTATGAGATGCTAACTCTTTAATGCCAGCCCTGTAGCCTGTGCATACATTATTCTATGGCCATGGAGCTGGATCTGGCCTCGTTCTAAACTCCGGACCCCAAAGAAGTCCATAGGGTCCATTCCAACTGAGAACAAGTAGAAGAATAGTCTTTTTGCCCCAAAAACCTGAGTCGCCTTTTTCTTACACACTGAGACACGTAAAGTTGTTGAGAGGGAACATTTTATTAAATTCTGAGAAATTCCCTCTAAAACTGTGAAGTTTTCCACCACATTTATTAAAGGTATATTTATTGAGGATTTCCCCAAATTTTATTAAAAATCCACCCTCTCCACTTTTTGAACAAATCTCCGGTCGCTGATTGGGTAATTGGGGTGGGACTTTTCTTCTTCTCTGTCATTTTCAGGCAGAATCAAGTATCGTGTTTACATTAACTTCCTGTTCTTTTTGCTCTATGACATTATTATACACTTTGTACTTATCTGTTCCATTGAAGTAGATATCACCAGAATGATTGACAGTTAGGAGGACGAATAGCCTGTCTTTACTGTCTGGTTTCTCTCTAGTTTCTCTGTGGCCTCTCTCTGGTCTCTCTCTCTCTCTGGTCTCTCTCTCTCTCTGGTCTCTCTCTCTCTCTCTCTCTCTCTCTCTCTCTCTGTCTCTGTCTCTCTGTCTCTCTGTCTCTCTGTCTCTCTGTCTCTCTGTCTCTGTCTCTGTCTCTGTCTCTGTCTCTGTCTCTGTCTCTCTCTCTGGTCTCTCTCTCTGGCCTCTCCGTCCAGTCTCTCGGTCTCTCTCTGGTTTCTCACTGGTCTCTCTCTCATCTCTCTTTCTGGTCTCTCCCTGGTCTCTCTCTCCGATCTCTCTCTGATCTCTCCCTGGTCTCTCTCTCTGGTCTCTCTCTGGTCTCTCTCTCTGGTCTCTCTCTGGTCTCTCTCTGGTCTCTCTCTCTGGTCTCTCTCTCTGGTCTCTCTCTCTGGTCTCTCTCTCTGGTCTCTCTCTCTGGTCTCTCTCTGGTCTCTCTCTGGTCTCTCTCTCTGGTCTCTCTCTCTGGTCTCTCTCTCTGGTCTCTCTCTCTGGTCTCTCTCTCTGGTCTCTCTCTCTGGTCTCTCTCTGGTCTCTCTCTCTGGTCTCTCTCTGTTCTCTCTGGTGCCACAGAACGTGAGTTAAAGTTAAAACTACTCACAGAAAAACTAAAAACATACAAAAAAGCGTCATAAAAAAGTCTGTCCATCTGAGATCCTCTGAACACGCCGCAGACCGTTCGAACGCTTGACTCCGCTTCCAATCGATGCTAATTTTGATAAATATTTGACTAGAATTAAAGACTTCCATTCGCTGACTGTGGTTTAATGGCCGCCCGGCGCGCAGAGGCCGCTTCTCGTCGTAAAAGCAGCAGTTATAAATGCGACGGCGGCGGCGTTGGCGTCCTGGGAGGTGCAGCTTCGCTCATTTGCACGTTTTTAGCCAAATTTATTTGCTTTAATTGTGTGTCTTATGAGGCGTAGCGGCGGAGAAAGTCTCGCCGCTCCGAAAAGTCCTGATTATTCTCAAAGCAATTAACAGGGACTGGGTTTAAAGCGCGGCGTGATGGATGAGAGCGGGTTTTCGGGACGATCGAATCAGGCAAAAGTGTGAGAGAAAAATTCACCCGGATGTTTGTGACGTTTGATGTGGACTTTTTTATTAAACTGGATTCATGAAGTTCATAATCGAGATCATGAACTCTCACAAAGTGGAAACGCAGGTTCAAGAGATGGGGTTATTTTTGGGGCTGTAATAATAACACAGGGACTAAAATATGCTCCCAGAGAAAGTCATTTTGTGTGTACTTGTGTCGGAGAATGTGTGTTAAGAATTGTGTGTGTGACTTTTATGACTTGTTAGCACCTTGAGCTAAAGCGAAATTCCTAGTTTGTGACTCTGTTACTTACAAAGACAATAACAAGACGTCTCCCATTCAAACCAAATCAAATAATCTCAAAAATGTGAGTCTGTTTTTCTAGTTTTTTAGCTTTACGCATTTTTAATACATCCTTAAACTTGTTCAGATAACTTGAAATGCAGCAAAAACAGTTGAAATGCTAACTACTAATGCTAACCGAAAAGGGTGCGTTGCCATGGTAACGACCAGTATCAGGCAAGGTCAGTCAAAAACGCAATACGTTATGTGTTAAATGTGTCACTGCAATATTGTACTGCATTACTCTACTGCAGTACTTTAGAGTTACTTTCATCAAATATACAGTTTTACAAACTAAATGTAGCTTATGATACAATAGATGAAAGGTGTCAAAGTCGAGGCCCGGGGGCCAGATCCGGCCCGCAAGACCATTTCCAGAGGCCCCTGAGATAATTTTTAATTATATTAAATAGCAGCATTGATGGTATTCGGCGACAATGGCATGTTATTTATTACTAAGAAAACAACCATAGAATTTAATTCCATAAGAAATGTGAAGCCAACATGTCATTAGAAGTTAGTTTTGTTATGTTATGTTTTTTGTCTTCAATTACATTTCTTCTTAAAGATAAAAAGGAGGATTACCCAAAGAACCGCCCTCTCCACTTTTTGAACTAATCTCTCTAGTCTTATTGGACGAGCACAAATCACCAGAATGATTGACAGTTGGGAGGACCAATAGTCTTGATGATCCACCCGGACGTAAAAAATCTTCAATTATACCTTCAATATTTGGTTGAGTTTTGGTTCAGTTTTGGTTCAGTTTAGGTTCAGTCACAGGAACTGAACTAACTCTAATCAGAAAAGAATGTCTAATCTAACTAATGTGAAACAAGTCATTTATAAACATACCTTCATTCTCCAACATTTTTTTGTAAATGAAACCCACTTTTTCTTTCGGCCCCAGACCAGCCATTTCTTTTTTTATTCGGCCTCAACCATAATAAGTTTCACACCCTGCTATAGATATATAAATACAAGCTTGTATTGATAGTTGCAATTGGAGAGAGAGCTCAGACCCGTCGCGAGGGTTTCTCTCTCTCTCTGTTTTCTCAGAGAATCGTTCCAACTCTTTTCCACCGTTTATTTTCCGCACAGAAGTGAAAATGTTTTGCAATGTTCCAGGAAAAAGCCGCTGTAGCTGCCGCCCCTCACAGTGTGTGGCATTCAATCAAAGCCTCACCCCTGACCCTCACCCTCCCTCACCCACTCAGCGTCTCCCCCAAACACAGAAACCATCAGGGCCTTTTCTCTCGCTGGTTGATGCATTGACGCCGTGAACGAAGCCGACAACGCGAGCGGAAAGTGCTGAGGTCGGAATGAAGCCGTTATCTGTGGCATGTATCACTCCAGGACCAGGGAGAGAGACCAGGGAGAGAGAGCAGAGCAGAGAGAGCAGAGCAGAGAGACCAGGGAGAGAGACCAGGGAGGGAGACCAGAGAGAAAGAGAGCAGAGCAGAGAGACCAGG